CTTAAAGGCAGTTTTGTGTATATCTTCCTCAACTATATAAATTTGATTGTACCCTGAATACCCGTCCATGAAGGAATATATTACGTGTCCGGCAGTCGAGTCTACTAAAGAATCTACCGTAGGCATTGGATATTCATCTTTGGGTGTGGCTATATTTAAATTTCTAAAGTCTATGCACACCCTTAATTTACCATTCTTTTTTAGCACTGGCACGATATTGGACAACCAATTCACATATCTGGCTGTTCTAATAAAGCCTGTTTTTAATAATCGCTCTATTTCTTTTTTAATCTCAAGAAGTACATTAGGAGCAAAACGCCTAGGAGGTTGCTTATGAGGTTTAAAATTTAGTTTGGTTGGCAATCTATGTTCTACCAAATCCCTATCTAAACCAAGCATATGTTCATATTTTCAAGCAAAACAATCATTATATTCATTTAATAAAGCGATTAATTTATCACTAACCTCTTGATCGAGCATCTGGCTGACGAAAGTTGGGCGATCTTCCCCTTCATTGCCAATATTCACTTTAATTAGAGGGTCTTCTACTTGAGCGTATCCAAGTTTGATGATCTTCATTACTTCATCGTCCAATTCCCTTATAGGCAGTTCTTCTTCTAAACAATCCACTTTGTTGACTTCTCGGCCAATATTTTGTTCCAACTCGAACACTGCCAATTTGTCTCTCAATGTTTCCAAGGCTGCTTCTTCTTTCGTCTTGTCCTTACATTCTTTATTGAAAGCCATTAATTTGGCTTTGAAGGCCCGAACATCAGTTATTTGCCCTTTTTGCTTATAGCTCATTTAAAACTCTTTGATTACTCTTTTGACAATTACTGGCTCTTCTAGGGCCACTATGTTTGGCCTCATTTGACTGAACATTTCAGTGAGTGCATATATCGAAAATGGCTCTTCACTCTGTGTGATAATTTGAGTTTCTTCTCCATCTTGGACTACTCTGACAGGTCCATAATTTCCTTCGTACATGAACATTTCCACTGAGTTTGCTTCTACGACAAAAGGCCTATGATCGGCCTGCATCACTTCTGCTTCACCCTTATCGTTCTAAAAAACCAGGCATTGATGGAGCGATGAGGGTATACAGCGACTTTCGTATATCCAATCTCTTCCCAATAACACATTGTAACTAGTAGGACCATCTATTATAAAGAAGACTGTAGTCCTAGTAGTTGTCCCTATAGTTATATCCAATGGCATAATCCCTTTAGTTGAAGTTGCTCCTCCATTGAAACTTGTAAGGATGACTTTTGTTGGAATCATATCACTTTCCGTCTTTACAAATTTTCTCATCATCTTAGATGAAATGGTGTTTATAACTGCTCCATTATCAACAAGTACTTTTGCCACAGGTATGCTGTCAACTAAAGCTTTAGTTAACTTCATGGTTGGTCTCTTAAAAATAACCTTTTCGGCAATATCTATTTCCACTTCCTGTTTGTCCTCTGTCAAGTTATCCTTTTATGATAAGTCAACGTGCAGTATGTCTTACTGAGCTTCTGTTTCCTGAATTTCCTTTTTACTGTTTGCTAATGCTTCTTCTTCGATTACCCAACCTGTGGGAGGAGGCATTATTCTTGGAGGTGATCCATACTTTTCAGAGCAAGGAACTCTTTTTTCCTTTTGGGCGTTCCGTACAGCACGTAATAATCAAAAGAACGCCCAGATGGTTCTCCCAACAAGTCCACTTCACGAACCCCCTCTCGATATAGTTGCTTCAACAGAGTATTATATGATACCCCTCTCTTTCTTCTTTTTGCTTCCAGATCAATTTCCTCTTCGATGTCCGTCATACCATTGTTCCCTTCATCATCGCAGGCCCCTCTAGAAGTTTGGCCTTCCTCACATTCTAGCACACATGCTTCCTCTTTGTTATCCTCCCTTTCTTCTTCTTCTTTCTCTTTGTTCTTAAACTCATTGGCTAGTAAGTAATTATTAGCCATGACAGGAAGTAACGTACTGAACTGAATAGTAAGGGGCTGATCTGGATCTTCTCCATCCCTTCTGTCTCATTCAAACTTCGATCTCCCAGAAGAACTTTCTGACAATTCTTCCATCGATTCGCCTGTACCAATCTCTTCACTGTCTTCAAGAACATTTTGATTGGCCACCTCGAGTAATTTAGGCGCTTTAGGATGTGGCATTCCCTGTTGTTGCCTTATCATTCGTCCATAGTTTCATTGAAAATGCATTTGTTGGGTTCTAATTATCTCGTTGAAGGGTATCACCCTTCCTGCGTTATACTGGAACGAATGCCATACATTTGGTTGGCGAGATTGTGGCCTGAATGTTCTCCCATTATTTACTGGCCTGAACTGCCTCTCAAAAGGCGGTCCCCTATAGAATGATGTACCTTGCCCTCTACCAGGCTCAGCGTTTGGGAAAAAACTAGGGCGATGGTGATGCTGCCATATCCCTGGTTTCTCTGTATTAGCACTCACTTCTCTTTTACATCTTGCACACAGGACGTCTTCATTCTTTTTGGGCTCCTTCCCTTTGATACGTTCAAAGACACTAGGATGTGGTCCAGGTTCTCTTCCCCGTCATCTATAACCAACTTGAATTTTGACAACTTGTTTTTAAAATCAGTCGTCACCATGTTCACCCCAAGTGGCTGTGGAAAAGGGTTTTCATCCACAACCATTTTCTTCTTATCTTCGAACGTAATTCGTCCTGATTCAATGGCATCCTGTAACACATGGCAAAAAATTAAACAGTTGTTAGTCAAATGTGACAATGCATTATGTCACTTACAATATTTTTTACCCTTAACTTGCTCAGGGCTTTGCAATTTATGTTTATCGCTCAGTTTTATCTGTTTATCCTTATATAGTTTATCAAATATAAGGTCAGCTTTAGTTACATCGAACGAGAACATTCTAACCTTTTTGTTTTTATTTTTTATAGGTTCATCTTTACCCGACGGTCTAGGCTTAGCTATTATAGGACAAGTATACGTATCTCCTTTAACCAATTCGGCCAAACACATTTCGGCTTGCTCGTAATATTCGTCATTAATGTCATGCACATCAAAATTTGGATCTCTATAATAAGTCCCCTTGCTAGAGTTTTTCATTTGCTCTTCTTCTCTTATTAATCGTTCATACCTAATCACGTTTGCGCTCAATTGAAAAAGATTAGGAAATTTCTTGTCTTGGAATTTCTTTTTCAAATCAAAGCTTAGACAATTTTGAACGATTTTGACAAACTCCTTTTCGGGCAAAGGTACAAAACATTTACTTTTTACTGTCTTGAACCTTTGAAGGAAACATTTTGCCAATTCGTTTCATTTGACGCAGACTCGTCAAATCGGCCAAAGTAATTTCAGATTCAGTTTTATAAAACTGAGCATAGAACAACTGCTCCAATTGTTGTCACGTTTGAATAGAGTTCACTGGCAAATTGATGAACCAGGAGAAAGCTACTCCTGTTAATGAATTAGGGAACAACCTTATTTTATGGTAGTCCGTTATTTCACCACTTTGCAGTGTGAATCACCCTATGTGTTCTAGAGTAGACACCTCTCCTAAACCTGTAAATAATGAGAATTCTGGCACTTTATACCCTCTAGGCCATGGATATGCTTGGTCTACCCAATCAGGGTATGACTTTGTGTAAGTCAGCCTAATGATAGGACGTACCCCAAAGACCACTTGATCCTGTACTATTTCCATAATTTGATTTCTCAACATGACGTTGAAGTCATATGGAATTCATACAGGTTGGTTGGTCGGTTGATTTGCCTGAGGCCTGATGTTTGGTCCTTGGTTGGCAATAAAGTTGCTATGATTTAGGCCATTGTTACCATTAGCCTGAATATTTATTCCATCATTGACACGTGGGGTATTCTGTCCATTATTTAGGATATTATCTCTTATATTTAGGTTACCCCCCAAGTTAGATGTACCATTACCACCATTCTGATTTGACCTTACACCATCCCTTGATTTGAAGTAGAGGGACCAAAAGGTGGTTATATCCATTGATTTGGACTTAGGAATGGGGGGTTATGTCCCACAATTGTCCTAACTTGAAAGTGATTTGCAAGAGGCACAACTGGCTGACAAATTTGGCCTACTAACTTATTCATTATTTCATTCAAATTATTCAGTTTTTTGGCCATGTTGTCATAATGTGCATTCCCATTCTGAGTAAATCTTTCCATATTATGAATATTTCGTAGATTTACCTGTTCAACGACATCCTGTGTGAGTTCTCCAAGTAATGCACGCATGGTTCGAGGACTCAACTCTATCATTGGTTCGTAACGACTGTGACTACTCTGACTCTGTCCCTCTGTTCGTAGAGAGCTATGCTGCTCCTCATGTCACTCGATCACGGACTGGATTCCTCCCTGACTTGCTACTTCCTTATCAGATTTGTGAGGCATATTGTTTCACCTTTTGTATCTTCAACACCAAACACCAAGGTCCCACTGGACGTGCCAAATTGTTTCGCGGGGTAGTCGCTAACAATTAAAAAGAAAATCAGACGATTGTGTAAGGAACAAACCTCTTGAGACAAAGTCCCAAAAAGAGGTATTTTATTGGTGATGATTTACAATTTGGAACTAAATAGAATGCCTCCAAGAGGTGCAAGTACACGAGTACTGAAAAAAAATGTTTAAGTTTAAACTAAGGAATTGAAATTACACCTTCTCTGTTTGAGAGTGTTTGATTCGGGTTTTTTCTCTCTATGTCTTCTCTTCCTTTTATACTCCCTCGATGATTCCTTTGTGACAAACCGCTTGAAAACTGTTTGATTGCTTCATAACCACCACTTTCTTTATGGTGGCTAACTTGTCGTTGAACTGCCGTCTTTAACTGCTGCCACTACTCTTTGTCGTTCAACCGCCTTTAACTGGGTTTCTTGAATCGTGGAATGTGATAAGGTTGCTCAATAACTGCTTTAATAACTGCTTTCCTGAATAACCATAACATTTTATGTTTGCTAAGATCTTGGGCGATTCGAAAGTATGGACGAGAACAGGGTCATCGCTCTTGGCGACTGTAAGGCACTCCATTCGCTTAGATTTTGGGCGTCTTACAAGTTTGGGCGATGATGTTACTGTGTTCATGAACTTCCACTGTATTTATTAATAACCCTGTCTGGACCTTTATCCTGAATTACCCAGTTGAGTTTCATACTTTGGGCTATTTGATTTGGGAATTTCTCAATTGAACTTCATTCCTTGGACAATTCGATTTGGGCTATATTTTTAGTCTGTCAACAGTTGGAGAGAATTTGATTTGAGTTATGCAGAACAGCTCGTCATTGCCCTGGCTTTGCAACATCACCACAAATATCTGCGTGGATGTTTAGTGACAGATGCAAAAATAAAGAGAGAAGAAAAAGGGTGAAACAAGATTCCTCAGAAAAATGGCGTCTAAAGAAACCTGCAGAACCGAACTCCGTTCCGCCGTATGACTCCTCAGTGACTTCTGTCTCTACTCTGCGTTCAAATGGTAAACCTAAACCCCTTTTGAAGAACAAACTTTTTCTTCTATCACAATTCCTACGTTGAACATTCATTTTTAATTTTGAAGTTTCATTTTTGAAGGGCAGTGAAGCAATTGATGGGGATAGAGCAAGACCCTGCGAAGCACACCCNTTCATTTTTAATTTTGAAGTTTCATTTTTGAAGGGCAGTGAAGCAATTGATGGGGATAGAGCAAGACCCTGCGAAGCACACCCCTTCGCACACTCGATTCCAACATGGCCATGCCGTTGATGGCGGTTTCGGAGGAGTATGATTTTGATGCTATTGATAATGATTTTTATTTGCCAGCTCTTACTTTGACTCAGAGACTACTGTCGGGAGGCCCATGTGCTCCGTGACCAGATAAGCAAGAAAGCGGTCTTCTTTATGCGCCATGTCTAGTTGGTTTTCTGCACAAATCTTGGTTACATTGCTGTTTATAATTGCTCATTTATGGCTTTTAGATACTTAAAATTTTGATAACTTGATTTTAATTGATAAATGCTCTTTTTCTATGTGGGGTATATTGATTGTTGAATTTTGGAGTTGTCACTTGGGTTGGAAAGTTCAAAACTTTAAACATTGGCATAGCAAAATATTTTGCATTTTGGATAAAATATATAATGAATAAGGGACTTAACGATTGATTTCCAATGGTCAATCGAGGGAATATATCTGTTTTTGTTTGTGGGTATTGGCGCAGTAGGCTTATTGAACGTACAGCATATGCGTATTCAAATTTAGCAGAGATTTACACAATATCGTGCATTAGTAGCAAATCAATATTTTGAGAGAGGCTTTTGTGTTATCTAGAATGGTGTCAAGGAACTGAAGATGCTATAAATATGTTTAATAAATTATATAATTTGTTGTACATAAGTTTGAAATGAAGAACTCTCAGATAATAAGTAATGTGTAAAATAGTTAATTTCAATAACCTAGTTTGATAGGTAAGGTGTGAGAAGACAAAGTTGAGATATTATTATGTCAATGAACTCAAGAAAAGATAACTTCAGTTTTTGCAGTCAGTATACTAATTCATACATTGCACCCAAACAACAAATACAAAAATTTCGGAATTTCTTTGACTAGTATTGTGTTCATTCACTGATGTTCTTCTAATGAAACTCTCAAGGGCCTTCAACAAATGTTTACCTTTGTAGCCAAACTTAGGTCAGTTCTGGATTGCTACTAAGTGCTGTGATCCAAATCTAATGAGGAATTGGAGGAAGATATCTACTTCTTGATTTGTTGCAGAACCTGTAACTAAGAGGTTAATTATCTGAATCAATTTTCCTTGATGGAATTAATGTCTATGACACAAATTTTGACGTATTTTGGACAAAAATGTGATAACAAGTGCATCTATGAGAGAGAGAAAGTAAGCCATGGGGAGTTTTAAACTAGGATGCCCAGCCAAAATGTGACAAACATGCTTTAAAAGTCTTTGGATTTTAACCAAACATAAGAAAGCTAGCATATTTGTGAGGGAGACCATGAAGTGGAAGTGGGAGTGAGAGCGAGAGCACAAAGGAGTGTACTTTGGAAATATTCCTTGGTGCACTGCATTGCCAGAGTGTTGAAAATTAAATAGAAGATAAGTATGTAATTATTTTTGAGAAAATTTAACTGGACTTGTGTATGCAGAAAAATATTTGCGGGAGAATATATCAACGATTCTATTAGTTTGTGAAACAAACATTTCTTCTGATAAAACAATGCATTCCTATATAGTTTGCAAATATAGTACTGTATTTTTCACAAAACTTCATAAATATGTCCTGGAAAGTCTTGCCTGAAGAGGTAAATAACATTGTGAATGATAAAGAGCGGGGCCTGAAGAAGCAATTGCTAAGCATATTGAGATTTTGAGCTTTACAAAAAACATGCCAATGCTAGTTGATCAGAATATGTATAACTCGGGGACTTAATGTTTAATTCTTGAAATGTCATTCTGAATAGTACTTAACACTAAGAAAAGAATATATGTCTAGTAGAGTTAGAGCCTGTTTGGAATTGAAGGTTTTTTCAAGTAAGCCTTCTTAAAATCACATTAATGCTTAAAAAGGATTCAGTCTGCCATGTAAAATATTTCAGAAAGAGCTTATAATCCCAAATCAAGCACCTCGAAATTTGCCCTCGTAAGCACTTATTATATCTAGCTTATAAGCTCTTTACTGAACACACCAAAATTTCTTATAAGTATCAGTTGTATACTCAGCTTTTTTGGAAAGTATTCATAAGAACTTTGGGTTTGACCAAGTACAAGGGAATCGTCCCTCCCCCTTGCCCCACCCCAAGTATATCATGCCCTTTGAAAGTGCCACAACAATAGGACTTCCTCCTTTCTCCAATATCTCTCTCCACTTCTAGCCTCCCGACCTTCGGCTTGTAGCCTCAACACTCTTCCCTACCACATTAACTACAATCTCTGATACTCAAACTTTTCGAAATGATCAGAGTACTCGTGTCAGATATGATACGCATAGGTATGGAAATGGGTATGAGATATGTGTCGGATTCTTCAAATTTCAACAAGACACTTCACAGTTTTTGCTTCTTCTTTTTTTCCTTTATTTCTCATTTCTGCTCTCTATAAACCTAACGCTACCTCTCGTAAAGAAAGGCGACGAGCTAGATTTTTCCTTCTTCTTTCTTTTTTCTTTCCCTTTTCTTCTTCTTCTTCTTTTAACCTAGCGTTGCTTCCGAGATGGTGGAGAAGGGCGATGACCAAGGTTTTCCCCTCTCCTTCTTCTTTCTTTTTGCTTTCCCCTTTCCTCTTTTTTTCCCTTCTTTCCCTCTATGTATAGGTGGTTTAGGATTTTTTTAATCTAAAATAAAAATAGCTCCATATAGTGCTACTTAATGCTCCACTATGTCTAAATTGCAATCAAGTTCCTCATTTTCTATTTTATATAACATTTAGCTATTAACTTCCTATAATGGAAAATTAAATCCCAAAATTCTATTTTATTCGTCTTAACTCCTTATTCAATACTCATTTTCTTTTTCTTTTTTGGTGAACAATTGATTTTGTTCTATTCAAAATGACATTTTCGTTTAGTAAAAAATTGAAACTTGAAAGACATACCAACATACTCGTATCCGAAATTTGAACTCTTTTTAATCATGTCCACGTATCCTATATTTTAAAAAACAAAAGACCCGAATTTAGATATGTACCTGTACTCGAGTTCGAGCATCATAGGCCACAACCATCTTTTCCTACTTCCCTCCATGGATGGTTATCCGTCCCCCTCCTGACCTCTAAAAGCCATCTCAACCTCTTTCCTTGATCACCAGTCACCCATTTTCTTTCTTAATGATCGCTTCACCTGCTTGGTTTTTCTCCACTCAACACATTGTCAATGTCACTAGAAAAGGGCATTATTTGAAACATATATCGACATGTTCATGTGTGTGATGAGAAAAGAACTATGTTGTTTGCTCCTTATGCTTATTGTCTATTTTCCATTGGTTTTTTTTTACAAGAAAATAATGGATAGAGACCATGGGGAATTATAATTTTTCTTTTGATCATTGATTGGACCTGGTTTCTTGAACTTCTAACATGTCAACTTTCAGAGACATGGCATTTTCAGCCTTTTCTCAAGTTTGCCTTACACTAATGAGATGCATATTGGATTTTTATCTCATTTGCATTAGATGTGCACTATATTTGGAATAACTTATTTGCAGTGGAAATAAATTATCATTGAAATTATGAAAAACCAACAATATATTATTTGCAAAGGCAAACTTATCTCTCCTCATTGCTTTTGGTTCATGAAAGCTGTAGAAAAGAGAAAGGAAGAAGAGATGATAGAACTGGACCCTTAGGCAAGAGTGACGCTGTGAATAAAGAAAATGTTTCTCTCGAGAGCGAGTTGTCTGCACTTGAACAATCGATTCGTTTTGTCTTTATGTGTATGGTCTTATCCTTAAGGAGAAAGGCAGCGAGAATCTTGCGAGGACAGTGCTTGTCAAGTCTGTAAACAGTTATCCTTCGAATTGGAGTGCTTGGTCCAAACTGCAATCCTTGTGCACTACGATTGAGACATTACAGTCTTAATCTTAATAACCAATGGATGAAGGACATTTTTCTTGCCAGTAAATACCAGGAACTCTGGATGCATAAAGAATCCTTGTCGAAGTATGAACATCTACAAGCAACTTTCAGTTTTAGCAATTATATCCAGGCACAAATTGCTAAAGCTCAGTATAATCTGAGGGAATTTGGACTAGTCGAAGTTATATTTAAAGAGCTCTTAAGAAATGATCCTTGTAGAATTGAAGACATGGATGTGTATTCCAACGTCCTCTATGCAAAGGAATGCTTCTCTGCTTTATCTTGCCCACAGTGTGTTCTTAACGGGTAAATGTAGACCTGAGTCCTATTGCATTATTGGAAATTATTGCAGTTTGAAGGGGCAGCATGAAAAATCAGTTGTGTATTTCCGGCGGGCACTCAAATTGAATTAAAATTATGTCTGCTTGGACCCTCGTGGGGTCATGAGTATGTTGAGATGAAGAGCACCTCAGCAGCAGTTGATGCCTATCGGCGTGCTGTGGATATAAGTCCTTGCGACTAAGTGCCTGGTACGGGTTAGGACAAGCTTACGAGATGATGGGAATGCCCTTCTATGCACCAACTATTTTAAGAAGTCCGTATTCTTGCAGCCAAATGATTCTCGACTGTGGATCGCAATGGCTCAGTATTACTAAGCCGATCAGCTCCATATGCTTGAGGAGGCAATCAAGTGTTACAAGAGGGCAGCTAATTGTAATGACAGGGAAGCAATTGCTCTACACCAATTAGCTAAACTTCATTGTGAACTTGGTCACACTGAAGAGGTAGCATTTTATTACAAGAAGGATTTGGACAGAATGGAAGCTGAGGAGAGGGAAGGACCAAATATGGTCGAGGCTTTGATGTTTCTTGCCCAACACTGCAAACCTAAGAAAAGATTCGAGGAAGCGGAGGTGTATTGTACTTGCCTTCTCGACTTTACTGGTCCAGTAAGTCATCTTACATTTTTTCATGTATTGCATGTGATATATATTTAGTCATATTTGCATATCATGAGTTTAAAGATCAGAACAAGTTTCTCACTTTCTTACCTTTTCTCATGCGTAAAAATAATACATGAAAAGGAAACTGCAGAGAGTCTTCTTCGAGGAATAAGATACGAAAAGTTGGACGTTGAGCATTTCCCACCCCAAAATTTCAAAGGCCATGCAAGTTTGTTTGAGAAATTTTGAAGTGTGTGAAAGACAGTCAATTTCGAATCTTGAAGGTACAGCAGATGATATCAGTGTACTTATAAGAAGTTGATATTTGTCATCAGAACTTAGCTTGTATTCTCATTGCAGTTGTTTTAATCTGATTTCATAAATTGGATAACGTATCTGTAACATTATCAATATTTCTTTTCTTGGAGTCAGAAGTTTTGTTGGTCAACCATTGAGAATTTGCAATTGAAGCAATGATTTGTAAGTTTGTAACACCTAATTTTGTTTATTTCAAGCAAGTCCTAGTAAAATCAAGCGTGTAAAGACCACCCAAAAGTGAACATAATTTGGGAGTTGTGTATCAAGTATGTCGGTATAAACCTATGACTTTGGTAATATGCTCTCATATATTGACTTAAGCATCATAGAGTATCCACGAGAATAGATTCGAAGGTAATTTGTTAGCATTAATTTACAACATCAATTGAGGAAGCTGGATCCACAATTTGACTCTAAATACAGCATTCTTGAACACGAACACATCACACATTACATAGGATGGCAAACAGGAGATGATGACAACAATGGCTAGAGACCAATGCAATTCAAGGCAGTAGCTAGTTTTTCTGCGGGTCGGAGAAGAAGCTGTTGATGGAAGGCATGATTTCTGGTCGTTTATTGCGAACGAATTTTCTAAGACCATGCTCCGTGTATTTTTCTCCCTCCACGAAATTCTCCAATACTCCAGCAGCCCTACCTTGTTTGTTTACCCTGTTTAAAATCATAATCATCATTTGTATTAACTTCTTTAAGCTAAAATCAATGGTGATCCTGACTATAGGTGGGGTAGGCGATCTTGCCTAAGAGCACACTTTTATGAGCCCCCAAAAAAAAAAAAAAAATTATTACTTATAATTCATAAAAAAATTACAAAGAAAGTAAAGTCCAAATGCAATGAACCAAAGCCAATTCAGCTGTTCAATTAGCAAACTTATTAATCTTTAGTTAAAAAGAAAATGTTATGTTAGTTAAATCTTTATTTGTAAAGGTATTTAATGCTTAATTATGCAGATATCTTAGCAAGTCCAACTAAACATATATATATATATATATGACTCATCTCTTAAACTCTAGTGCTTAACTTATACTAAATGCTCAGGTGACATGGAACACTAAAATAGTGTTTTTTTTTTTTTTTTTTAGGAGATAAGTCACTATCATAAACACGCATGTAAAGTCAAGTTAAAAGTGTTAAAGTAATAAAATTTCAAGAGTCACAAATAAAAGCTGCTTTAAAACACTAGGTAGAAACATGTGCTGGTCTCAAGGCATTTAGAGATACTAAAGTTATTATGAATTTTGAGTTCTCATCTAGCATGGTCATTTGGTACAATATATATCAATTATTAATAAAGTAAGCAAAATGTTGTAAAGTGAGGATATGTCTATTGATGCTATTAGTCATTTGAAATCACTTATTTTATTTTTTGAAATACAACAAGAAATTGGATTTGAATTTGATAAGATTACTGCTAAAGAAATTATTGTTCAAATGAAAGTCAAATATATTTTTCATGAAATACGTGTTACTCATAGAAAGAAGCACTTTGATGAAAAATTCACTGATTAATAACATATTCATTGAAGAATCTTTTAGAATTGATTATTTCTTATACATGTTGATCAAGCTCTTTTTCACTTATGCTAAAGTTTGAACAATTTCAAAAATATGAAAATATTTTTAATTTTTTTTATTCTAAAACTATTGAAGACTGCACATCACAAATCTTTTAAATGTTATTGTGATAAGTTTGAATAATTCTTTAAGCACCGTAAAAATTCTAATATTATTGGCAAGAGTTATTTTTTGAGTTGCAAACTTTGAAGTTGTTTGCGAGAAGAGACCAAAAAGAATATTGAAGTGCTAGAATATATTAAAATGGTGGAGTGTTATTTTTCAAATGTGTAGATTACTTGTATAATATTATTAATTATATCAGTTACAATTGCAACCGTCGAGAATAGCTTCTCAAAGTGAAGTCGACAAAATCCTACATTTCATTAACAATGTCATTAGAAATGTTGAATAGATTGGTCATGGTATTTATTGAATTTTTTTTTATTTTTTTTTCAAAAGCATATTGATTGTAATAATATAATTGTTGATTTTCTATCCAAAAAAAATCTAGAAAAGTAAATTTAATTTTGAAAATTGAAAGTTTCAGATTATTATTTTTATAATTTTTAATAATTTTATCTAATAAAAATATTATTTATTACGATTATATATATAGTTGGTATAAGGCCCGTAAAATCTCACGGCCGACTATGACTAAAATAATGAGTTTTCAATGTGAAATACGAATTCAACATGACTAGTTACAAAATTAAAATTAATAAATTGAAGACAAAATTCAGATTAATAAATTTGGAGCTCTTTATAATATTTTTTAACTTTAACAATACATGAAATTGAGCTCCTGTTAGACATCTGATGAAGAATCGATACTGTGATATTATGTGTAACGAAGATAAAATTTAAAACAAATATTTTCACACGAATTTGTTAAAATGAGAGAGAGATCAACCTGACTTCAGGATTCATGCAGATATTGCGGATAAGCTGGAACCCGCAGATTCCGAAGGCAACTCCGACGGCGGCGAACAGTGGATACACCTATACATACACAAATCGCATCAGAAAAAAACTTCCGATTAAGTCAATTTAAATTCCACCACTTCAAATAAAAATCTAGGGAGAGAAAGCTACAAACCTCAGGCCTAAACCAGCGACTAGCTGAGGAAGAAGCCATAAATGTTCGAATGTTTCTGCCGGTAGAGATAGAAAAATTGGAATTGACGATGATCGAGAGTGTAAGGTAAAGGTGATAATCAGACTGACAATTATCAATATTATCCTGACATTTATTTATGGGTATTGCAAGAAGATCCCCCAACCTTCAAATATTGGCACAATCATCCTCAATCTGTCATTAATAGCAACACGAGTCCTTTTAGGCATTTGAATACTACATGGTCAACTTTACTCGAGTGTAAAATAGTACTTAATTGAGAAATTAAAAATAAATGTAAAAAGTGAACGAAACAGAATTTTTACCAACTTTATCCTTGAAAAAGTTGTGCACATGGTAGTCACATGCCACCTATTCAACAGCCATATGGAAGCATTCATTCCAAAAGGACTTGTGCTCTTATATCTATGGAGGTCGTTTATGGCAGTAACAAAATTTGAATATTGGATTTAGTCCTAAAGCATTTGTACAGTTATGCCCTTATTTGAGCTCCATTTTGGAAGAAAAATACATTTTGAAAGTGTTTTGCTACTCTGGCAGGGTTTAAACTAGGCTTTGGAAACTTCACTTTTTTTTTAGGTAATCTGTCTAATAATCAGATGACGCGTGTTATCTGATTCCAAACCCTGGATTTTCACCCTATCATTGTAGCATTTCTCATTTTAGAATAATGATTTTTTGGAGAACGTGTGGTTAAAAAACAAGAACAAAATTTTAATTTACGTGTCACATTATGTTATTAAAGAATATGTGGGAAAAAATGAGTTTTGAAAAAATAAACTTTTGAAAAAAGGGGATTCAAACAAAGGCTATATTTATAAAGTTTGTTGACAGTAGTGACAAGATTTGAATATTGGATTCATTTATAATTTTTGAAAAGGGATAATAGCACAAAATATCCCTACGTTTGATTTATTGCGAAAAAGTCCCTACGTTTCATTTTTTTGCATTTTCGTCTTTATTTCAACGTTTTATTGCTAAAAACGTCATTTCACCATTTTTGAATGCAACGTGACCAAAATACCCTCATATTTAAATAAAACCAAAAAAGAAAAGAAAAGAAAAATAAAGAATAAATTTTAATTTTACTCTTAAATGTTTTAGAAAGTGCAAGTGAATCCAAATAATTATTAAAATGCTTAATAGCTCAAAACGTCCCTACGCTTCAAATTGATGAAAATGATGTTTTTCGCAATGAAACGTGAAAATAGGGATGAAAATAAAAAAAATTTGAAATGTATGGATGTTTTCACAAGAAGTGTCAAACGTAGAGACGTTTTCAGTAAGAAGTGTCAAACGTATGGATATTTTGTGCTGTTAGGCCTTATTAAAATTGAAACAATTGCCAAACCGATAAACTTCCATACCATTTCCAAAATACCATCACCCAAACTCTGGCTGCACCACATGTTCCGAAGAGATTTATGTCATTTCCAACACACTAATCGACTATACTCACCAGGACGCTTCTCTTCATGGTCTTAAAACATCAACAGATGGTTAACATCAACAGATGGTTCAGCGATATGGAGGTTCGACGGTTTGAGTGATGGTTGGTCGGAGTTTTTTCATTTATAAGGTGGTAGTCCCATTTGGAGAAGAAGAGACCATGAAGAGAAGCGTCCTGGTAAGTATAGTCAATTGACGTGCTGGAAAAGACATGGATCTCTCCGGAATAGATAGTGCCGCCGGAGTTTGGGTGATGATATTTTGGAAATGGTATAGAGGTTCACCGGTTTGGCAATGGTTTCAATTTTAATAAGGCCTAATAGCACAAAACCTCTATACCTTTAACACTTCTTGTGGAAAACGTCCATACATTTCAATTTTTTTTTTTTTCATTTTCATCTATATTTTCACGTTTCATTGCAAAAAATGTCATTTTCATCAATTTGAAACATAGGTCATTCTGCACACTACATGCCAAACGTAGGACGTTTTGTGCTATTAGGCATTTTAATAATTATTTGAACTCACTTGCACTTTTTAAAACATTTAGGAGTAAAATTGTAATTTATTATTTATTTTTCTTTTTTTTATTTTACTTAAATAGGAGGGTATTTTGGTTATTCTACATTTAAAAATGGTGAAAATGACATTTTTAGCAATGAAAATCTGAAGTAAGGACGAAAATGCAAAAAATAAAACGTAAGGACATTTTTCGCAATAAGTGTCAAACTTGTGTTATTAACCCTTTTGAAAATATTAGGACCCTAGATGCAATTGTTTATTTATTTACTTGATTGGAGGATGAAGGAAGCTGATTGCCTGCTCCGGAAAGATATGCTGACTTTTGTCCAATCATATCTAATCCCTAATTCACGTGTCCAATATTTTATTCTTTCTACGTTTCTCAAAATTTCATTTTTGGGCACCGTTTACTCCAAACGACGTGCTCAATATATTCTAGGTTTAAAAGTATATTCTTTTCATTTTTAATGAAAAATTATTTTGAAAAAAAGAACAAGATAAAATTATGAACTTTTAATCAATTATAAAATAGATAACAAAATTTCAGAGGTTTGTACTTTGTAGTCTTGTATCAACTCGACTTCTATGTGTCTAGGACTCTAGAGCTTGTAAATGATGTTTAAAGTTCTTTGTGTCTCACGTTGGACGTAATGGTATTTTGCATCACTAGTATAAAAGTATTAGTCTAGATGATAAAAATATACTATTAGATAAGATATATAATTAAATGAAACATTTAATTCTACATTTTATTGAACTTATCATTTAACGTCACCTAAATTAGTGTTGTAGCACCAATGATACTAGATAATATAATTACTCATGTTGGAGAGCTGTCTTAAACCATTCCACTTTTCTTTATTTTTAGTTCAAAGACAGTTTTATAAATTTGGTAAATCATATATTGACCACAATGGGAATTCCTAAAAGTATTTTGATCCGTTTTGCAAGAGAGAACACAATTTTGAATGTTTAAAGTATCTTCTATACGTGCATAATATTTCAAATACGTGAAGTCTTGTTATACACTTCTAAAGCTACTAGATAGACATATCAAGTTTTACTTTATCGTTTAGTTCTTTTATATTTATAAGTTTTTACCTTTTTATCTAGGTGGCAAATAGTTAGATATACGGAATTTCAATTTTTATTTATATTAAAAAAAGGAAAGACTAGAAACGAAAAGTTTGCGGATAGAGTTGATTCCTAAAATCACATCTGGTCACATCACATATCCACGGTATAAAAGAGAATATTTCATATCTAAGAAAAAATATCATAATTCCTCTAACAATGATGATACAAAGGAGAGTTTCATATACAAAAAAAAATATTAGAGTAATGATATTTGAACATTATGATTTACATATTAATTTATAGAATGATGATGTGGATTATATTAACTAATTTCTGCTTCTTCTTTTTTCCCTTCTATGCTTTCTCTCTCTATCTCTTCTATATCATCATTCTATAAACCATAATGTACAAATAAGAAATATTCTCGCGTTTATAGTTTTATCTTGTCCACTTAGAGAAAACCATAAGTAAGATTATCGTATCACAACAGCAAGCGTACAATCTTATCATGCAAACTATATTATAATTGCTCTAACAATGACGTGTTACAGTTAGAAGATAATTTTGCCATTATTGCAATTCTCTCAAATCTCAATAGTGTATAATTAGGGTAAACCAAGCACTACCTTGAGAGGAACCAAAATGAATATTGGGAATGGATAGGGGTAGGGCTGTAAATGGATCGGATATGTCCAAATCTGATCCGATAATTCAATGAATATTTAATTGTTAAATCCAAATCCGATCTGTTGTGTTATCGAATATCCGATCCGATAACTCGATCCGAAATTGAAAAAATTAGAAAAATAAAAAATTTAGTTAACTTCTAACCATAGAATTAAAAGTTCTAAATAGCTTTTTACCCAATTTTTGGCCAACTTATTTATCGATTGTAAATTTTATGATATTTTAGTGAGTATCCAATGTGGGAAGTGATAAGTTGAAAATAATAAAAGCAATTCCAATATTGGCTCCTTTGGTTATTTAATATATAAAATTAATTAATTATTATTATTATCATCTTATTTTAATTAATAAAAAAAATCTCTTCATATATTTCAATTAACAACATTATACTATTATCTAATATTATTAGTTATTTGAAAATTATGTTTAAGTATAATACAAGTTTCAAAATTAAAAAACAAATAAAATTATGTGTAATAAATTATGTGATAATATATAAAATATATAATATTATTATAATAGATCGGATTTGATTCTTATAGGATCGGATTGACCTATATCCATATTTGCTCAATTTAGTTGACATATTATCATATTCGGATTTTCATCGAGTTATCGGACTGATTTCCTAAATCCATCTTCAATTAATTTCATTGGATTCATATCAAAATTCAATCCATTGACGGCCCTAGATAGGGGACTTGCACTCTTTTACAATCTTGGGCCCCTACATCAAGGTTTTGTGACAGACTCTTGGGCCAGACCAGTTTACTTTCTTTTTCTTTTTCAAATTTTCTAGAAAAAGAAAAAAACTTAGAAAGAGACTCACAAATTAATGATTTTGGACAAGTATTCTAAAAGGCATCGTAGGTGCACCTAGTCGTGAGGCATTTCCAAAAATGTCTCGCATTTGAACAATGTGACTAAGAAGGCAATAAAATCATATTTTGACGGGAGATTTTTATAAATGACCTGCTACTATTCATTTTTGGTAAAATGTCTATAATACCCTTAATGAAAGGATTTGTCATATTTTACACAAGATATCCTTAATTTATTGGGATAGTTCTAAATTCTTCTATTTCTCTCATTTCGAGTTTTAATATATAATTCCATCCTTTGATCTAATAAATTAGAATAATCTGTAATATAATTGTCATGTAATTTACTAAGATTATCACATTCCTTAGATGAAATATCCATAATCTCTAGTTGAGCAAAAATATTTCTTATTTTTTCCAATAGTTTTTCTAACAGATTATCTAATCCTTTAATTGTATAACCTAGCATTATTCAGATAATTTCTTGCAAGCTTTATGAATAATAATAACATGTTAGATAAGTTTTTTGCAAACATGA